GGTGGGGATTGGAGCCCAGGGATCTGGCCAATCACAGCGCCTGGCTCGCCTGAGGAGGCTGCTCCCGCCCTGGTCGTCAAGGACGCAGAAAGCTGTCGCCGGGCGGGGACCCTATTCCCTGCAGTGTAGGTGGCCTCGGGCCCTCCTCTGAGAAAGTGCTCAGGGGCGTGGCGCTGGCAGGTGAGGAGTCCAGGTGCACCACAACTGCATTTGCGCTTCTTCAAAGGTGTGTGTTTCTTAGAAGCCCATCTGGTTCACCTGTGGGTCACCCTTTTTTGCTCTTTCCCTTAGACTTCTTTGTCTGTTGTGAAATTTGCATAGTTGGAATTCTTAAACTTTAGGTTCTTCTAATCCTTGCTTCTCTACTAAATTGCTTTAGGTAAATCTCTTCTTTTCCTTGAGGTTAAGTTTCCTCATTAGGAAAGCAAAGGAAACCAATAACATGGACCTAAATGTGAAATTGGGGACAACAATAAATAATAATATAATAATAATAATATTGGGTACCATTCATACACTAGATCCTTTATTTGAGCTATATGACTATTACCTTATAAATTAACATTTATCAGTAAATTAATTTTATTCCTATTTTAAAGAGAAAAAAAATGAGGCTTGGGTTTTGGGAAATTACTTAAGACACAAAGTAAGTGAAAAAGCCAAGATTTCAATGTAGATCTGCGTATCACAAATTTCTGAACTTTTTTTTATGTTAAAAGACTTCATGGGCTGGGGTTGTGACTCAATGATAGAACATTTGCCTAGCATGTGTGAGGCACTGGGTTCAGATCTCAGCATCTCATATAAATGAATAAATAAATTAAAGGTCCACCAACAACTAAAAATAAAACATTTAAAAATTAAAACAAAGACTTTAGTAAAAGTGGATAAATATTCTTTAATTGATTCCAAAATGGTATTAGTATTTGCTTCAACTCCACCATCCAGGTCCTCTGCCTTCTGCCCTTTGTGCTGAATTTTGTTGTTTATTTTATCTCCTACTGGCACATGCAGTCAGAGATGGATGACACACTAAGCTCCCTTCAGGGGCTCACTCACTAGAAGCGGGGAGACACAGGCACAGTCTATGGTATACAAACTTCAGTGGTAGCAGAGAGAGGGCAGCTCCTCTCTCATTCCTCCAGCCCAGCTTTTACGCTGTTGCCAGATCAATCTTCTCAAGGTCCTGCTCTGACATGATGTCCATGGTTTCAAGGTCTTCCACAATCTGACCTAAAGCTAGATCTCTTACTTGATCTCTTACTATTTCTCCTAGGCTCACTATGCTGCACCCTACCTGGTCTACTCACTGACCTGAATCTGCCTTTCATTTCCCTGTCTGCTGCTTTTGTTCATCCTGTCCATTCTGTTCTCAATGCCTTTCCATTTCCTCATTGTTTCAGTTTGTTTTAACATTCCTTAAATTTCATTTCAAAAGATCAAGAGTATTCACTTGGGAATCAAATATCTTTTTCAAATCCTAGCTCTGCTGGTTCAATGTGGTCTTGAGAAAGTCACTTAACACCTTTATGCCTTAGTTTCTTCTTCTGTACAATGAGGATGGTTTATTGTGGAGATTGAGTTATGTAAGCAAGACACTTAAAACAATGCCTGACCCAAAATGAGGAATATCAGTGTTTGCTGTTATCACTGTATATCAAGATGCAAACAATTCTAGAAGCTGAAAGTGATTTCTTTGTTCTATATATAATCTGTGGTTTCTCTCTTAGGAAATATGTTGTGCTTTGCCTGAGAGTGTGGCTATTTGTTTTATTTGATTGTTACACTTTCCTGAATTATGTTTATGGAAAGCTGAATAATGATCCCCCAAGATGTCTGTTTTCTAACCTTGAGGACCTGTGACTATTTCCTTCTATGGTAAGAGGAAATTTATAAATGTGCTTAAGATAAGGATCTTGAGATGGGGAGATTACCCTGGTTTATTTAGTTTGGCTTTTGGGGGGACTCAGAGATTATATTACAGAAGAGGAATAAGAGAATGGGTGATATAAGCAATAGGTCACAGTGGTGTGAGAAAGGGTTCCTGAGCGTGGAATGCACGTGCTCTCTGGAAGCTAGGAAATGCAAGGGCACTGAATCCTCTAGACTCTAGAAGGAACCAGTCTGCTGACCTCTTGATTGTACCCAGTGAGATTGTTTTGCACCTCTGGCTTTCAAAACTGTAAGAGTTTGGTCATAAACCACCAAAAGTATGTTAATTTATTATAATAGCCATAGGAAAAATTAATACAATGGTATTCATGCTATTCAATAATGCCTTTTCTTTTCATCTATGTGTTTTAAAATACCTGGAAGAGTTGTTTAGATTATAATAAGGGCTCTGCATTTTTTATTGACTAAATAATGAAGGAGAATAAAATAAATTAATAAAGTTTAATAAAATTAAACTTCAAAATTTCTTTCTGAAAAAGACCATAATGAACATATTACTCACAGTATCAAACAGAACTTGGTCTACTTAGTACACTTGACCATTCTGCCTCTCTGTGATTACAGCCTTTTCTTTGAGAACCTCTTTTCTCATTCCAATGAATCCTAGAAGTGGCTGTCAGCGAAAGCGTGACTTTCATCCTGCTTCTTCATTTAACTGATCATACTCTAGGGGTTAAGGTCAAACAGAGTTCTTACCCATGATCTACATGCAGACAGTGAAGGAGAAAGAGGGTTTTGATCTGTTGGGGTTACCAGACTGTGAGGATGGGTGTTGGCAAATATTTGTGTCCACATATTCTGTCTTTTTTTTTTTTCCCAGAGAAGAGGAAGAAATCAATGAACAGAGGAAAGCAGAACTGAAAAAGGAGCCAGTCGGATGATGGAAAAGAAAGCAAAAAGCCTGGATTCTAGAACTCTCGGACACAAAAGCAAGAGCTTTTCCTTTTGCATAAGATATTTTGAGAGATGCTTCACCCACTTTTCCCCAAAGGTCCTGAATAATACTCTTAAACCTCGGGTTGTTACAGTTCACATATGGGGTACAGTTAGTTGATGGGATGACAGTTTGAATTTCACTTTAAAAATCTATGATGCAGTTTGAAGGAGTAGTGAATTGACTTTGATTAAACCAGTTATTTTAGTAAAGACTGTTCTTTGACATCATCTTGACTTCATAGGTTTTACAAATCCCAACTTGAAACAATGGAAGGATCTATCAGGCAATTCTTTTATCAATTGATGGTATGTAGATGAAATTTGATATGTTTTTCCCATCCCAGGAAACCTCTGTTTTGCCACTTCCTAACCAAATGGCCTTGAGCATGTAATTGAGTTCTTTTATCTATAATCTGCAAACTAACAATAATCACCCTGTAAGGTTATTAGGATTAGAGATGTTCTTGGAGGTCTTAGACAACTAAAAGGCTTATAATAAACTATGTTCTTATTTATGGAAATAGCTAACATTTAATGAATACTTATTATGTGCCAGACACTGTGCTAGAGATGTTATTCAACATCTCATTTAATCTTCAGAATGAGTTTTTGAAATGATAATTATAAATATCCCCATTTTAGAGATGAGAAACCTGAGGCTAAGAGAAGGTAACTTGCTCAAGGGACTGTAGATAGGAAGAGTCCGACTATAATAAAAATCTAGGTAGGTCTGATTGCAGAAGTAGTCTTTATAGCTCCTCTCCAGAGTTCCTCTGTGGATGGTGATGAGCCCTTGTCATTATAATTATTATTAATGCCTGTGTTTTTATTGGTGTTGTTTTAAGTCTTGAGGTCTCTTACAAAATGCAGAGACTGTGACAGAATTCTTAAGGAGGAGTGGGCTTTTCTTATCTGGGATTTTCATTTCACACTGTGCTTTATGAAACGACATAACCAAGAAACATCTCTCTGGTGGTTTATATTAAACAAGGCAAAACAAAAAGCTATGCAATAAATGTCTCCATAAGATTAAATACTGTGGTTAAAACTGCCTTCCTTGGATTCAACAGCTTTGGATTACGAGTCACCAGAGAAAGATTCCACAGAAACATCTCCATCCAATAGAGTCAGTGCTCTCTCTCCCCTTCCCCCCAAAGGAAGATGAATCGCTGTAATAAGGGAACCAAAGAATGCCCCCTCCTAAAACCTCATGACTTTACACTTACCGTCCAACAGCGTAAGGGAGAGGGAAAAAAAATGGTCTCCAATGTTTTGGTTTTGCCCGTATAAGTCAAAGTAGAATGAGTTTATAAAGAGGAAGCAATAAAGAACTGCTCTTTTGAACAGTTTAATCATAGATCTATAAAAATGAGGCATTTTGCAGTGAAGTCCCTATCCAACTAGAGAAGAGACCTATACTGATGTTAAACTGAGTTGTGTCGCAAACAACGTGTGGGGAGAGCACTGTCTTTTTGTTGTTATTTTGTTTTGTTTTTCCACTAAAGGAACATACAGGACTCAAACCAGTGATCTTTATAACTAAATGGGAACTTCAGGTAAAAAGACAATCAAGGGCAGGCTGACCTTAGTATAGAATGCAATTACGGTCAGGTTTCTTAAAATGCTGTCAAGGCTTTTGAAAAACAAGACTGTAGAACATACTGCTGAGATGGACGGACTTTGGACTCTGCAGTAGACTTTTCTAGATCTGCCAGGTGGGTAGATTAGATAACAGAATTTCATTGTCTCATAGTTCAAGAAGCTAAAAATCTGAGATCAAAGTGTCGGCAAGGTTGGTTGCTTCAGAGGATGTTGAGGGAAAATCTGTTCTGCGCCTCTCTCCTTACTTCTGATGGTTTTCTGGCAATCTTTGTCATTACTCTGTCTTCATGTTCACATGATGTTCCCCTCTGTGCTTGTCTGTGTCCAAATCTCCGTCTATTTACATAAGTGATATTATATTAGAGGCCCATCCTACTCCAATAGGACCTTCGACCTATGAAGACCAATGACCTTTTCAACATTTTTCCAAACATATTATATTATTTTTCCCATTTTCTAGGAGCTTATCATTTTATTAATTTCTTCTATTTTATTTTATGGGTACATTAATAGTCTGACATAGTAATGGAATTTGAACATGATTTTGAGGCCACAATGAGTTGTGGAGGATACATTGATGAATTCTGATTCATTAACAGTTTAGGGGCCCCTCTCAAGATAATCAACAGGAAAGATAAAATATGTTCACGGATAAAAATTAGGCAATGGTGTCAAGAAGAGGTTACAAGAAATGAAGGTGAAAATTTGAACGCACGAGAAACTACTTCAGAATAGTGAGATTAAGGAAGATTTTACAGAAGAGTTAGTATATCAACTGCGCTTTTAAAAAGCAATACTTGACACCAGAAAAGGGAAGAGACAACACCCCAAGCCTAAGGAGTAGCATAAGCAGAGACTGGAAAATCAAGAAATGGAAGCATACGGTCAAGGAATTGTTTCTATTTTCATTTGGGAAAAGATGGAAGACAAAATTAGGAAAGAAAGTTTGGGCCAGAGGGTAAATGACCTTGAGTATATGATTAAAACACATATATTATTGTTGATTAGAATAGAGAGATGTGCATTTTCTTTTACGGTATGAGTGAAATTACCTCCCTCATGGTGTTGGTCAAAAGAGGCCAAGTTATGCTATGCTAACAAACAACACCTAAATATTAGTGGCTTAAGAAGACAAAAGTTTAGTTTTCATTCACACAATATTCTCCTGTGGATTTGGGAAACTCTCCAGGACAATTATCCTCCATAATTGGCTCAACAATCTGGTCTCCGTGGATCCTACAGCACCTCCCTCTCAAAGCATTCTTCCATGATGGCTATGGTAAAAGAAGAAAGTTCTGGAAGGTTTCCCATGTGCTTTGTCCTAGAAACAACACACATTGTTTCTGCCTATTGCCCCTGTTCGGAATGAGTGACTCAGCCCTTCCCAACAAAAATGGGGTTTGGGGGTTACCTACCAAGGTCTCCGTGTGGCTAGAAAGAGAAGTGTATGACAGTGATCCCTTGTGATGTACCACACCCAAGCTTGCAGAAAATTCACTCTGGTTACAAACAGGTTTGCATTTACAAACAAAATATAGATATGTAAAATTCCTAACACACTATTAACAGGAATTTTCCCGTCTGTTGCCTTTACCATTTTCAAATGAAGGAAATGTTGTTTATGGTTTATCCACGTTGTGCCCATTAGAAAAGAAAGATACCGACTACTTTCTGTAATCTACCTGCTATTGTCTCTGGAGTAGCATAGACTGGCGTGCACTATGAGTGATGTGGGCTTTGCCCACACACGGCTGACTCCTCATTTGGCTTCACTTGCAAGCTGCAACAAAACCATGATTGTCAGAACTTGAGGAGAGGGAAATGCGTGTCTGAATAGTGAAGCACATGTATGTAGTGTACACAGCATCCTTTGTATGTTGTTATATGACCTCAAAAATATCTTACTTTTACAAGTAAAATAATGGTGGAATACAGAGGTAATATGGTTCAATTGAAAGTGCCTGAGCTCTAGAGTCAGGAAAAGTTAAGTTAGAATCCTAACACGGTGAACTTATTGTCTGGTGACTTTGAACCTCAGTTTCTTCATTTTAAAAATGACATAAATAACAACAGAGTTGTGGCCAAAATGCATTAATGGTGATGTATTACATTAATTGAGAGCCTGGTGTATGTCAAACATTTTACATATGACTTCCTCCCTTCCTTTCTTCATTACTCCATTTTTTTGTTACATGTATATATGTATCTAATCTATGCCAATTTTTAACATGCATAAAAAAAAGTAATGATAATTCAATTCATAGGTAGTGGGAGGGCCTTTTCCAGTTTGAGTGTACTGGGATTTAGACCCATGTGATGAACTGACTTGGTGGATTAGGCCTCAGTGGTAAGGCAATGCTTTAGTATGAAGACTTTTTCCAAAAGTGGATAAGGATTGTTGAAGGAGAGGAAAGTGTTTTTCCCCCCTGTGGGTATCTAGGACTGAGCCTTAAATAGGATGAAAATTTTCGTATTTATCTCAAATCTAGGTATCCTGCTCAGGTACATTACATGGCTAGAACAAGATGATGTGGGAAATGCTGAGACCAGGAACACATGCAGTATGTGCTTGGTGAACACGTGACAGAATGTTACAGTGAGAGTCTTAAGGTATGCAGATACGCTGTAGTCTCTTGAGGGTTTGAGGTTTTGAGCGTTGTGGACCAAAGCATCCTTGGCAGGTAACCAACCTTCTCCTGGAGAACACACTCATCTGAAAGTATATGAAAGACAGTGCTATCCTCAAGTGGTTTCCGTGTTATCCTTGGGGAGGAAAGGAAAAATCCACCAGAGAATAGCACTGCTATATTGGTGAGAATGCATGAAATACCCATTGAGATGTTTTGAAATTTATGAAGGGAAATGTTTTTAATATGAGACCCATCAATTCTAACTCAGGGCCTGTTATGAGGGAGCTCAGAAAATACTTGATTGAAGAATAATTGCCTCAATTGTCAAGTCAAGACTGTGGATGTCAGTGGAGGCAGTACTTGCCTTCTGGGTGAGACATTCTGAACTGTCAAGAACATCGCAGCACATTTAGTAACACCAGTCCTTGGGAACTTAGATGCCAGGAATGTGTACCAGTCATTATGGCAATACAGACACAACCCCATGTCAAATGTTCACTGTGGGGATGCTGCTCTCTAGGGTTTCAATCATTGACTTAGTGGGACTCAACATCCCTGGGCTGTCTCAGAGCTAGTTGTAGGGGAGCCATAGGTCCTTCTTAGAATGGGATTTTCTTCCTCTTTGCATATCATGACTGGGGCCTTCTTTTGTTTCCTTTGCTTAGTGCTATTAGAAGCTCCAAAAGAGGAGCTCTACTTGCAACCCAGTGTGCTTGTCCAGGGCAATGAGTCTTGCCCAGATCCATCAGTCTTCTCCTAAGACTGATTCTAGCACTTCAACATAAATAACATTTTGTTCTCTGATATCAGCAGACTGGATGCTTCTCCACATTGGAGCCCAATAAACAGAGATTTTAGAATAAGTATTCAAATTGGGAACCCAAATGTTATCTTTATTTATAGTCAGTACATATTAAAGATTGGGACTATGACAAAAATAGGTTTGAAATCTTTCCTGCTGCCCTCAAACTGAGATTTGGTCTTTCCTGTGGGGATGGTGGAGTCTGCAGAGCAGACGCTGAGATGTATAATCAGCCAGGGGCTTGTTGGATTACAGACTGAAGCATCAGCAAAATGTAATGTGGAAAGAGGGTGTTTCCTTTAATGTAACGCCATTCTCCCCCTGGTCAAAATGTGGTTCAATGTTTGTCAGGTTTCATGATCAGCATTAACTGTACCTCCCCTGGGGGTAAGTGGCTATATGCCGGGTAGAAAAGGGTGGAAATTCTTTCCTTTTGGCCTGAGGAATAAGTACAGGTTACAGAAAACAGAATTATTCCCTTTAATACTTTCTATATTACTTTATTGTATCAATACATTTTGTTTTTCCTCCATTTTATTATAAAAGAGTCTTTGAGAAGAAAGTGTCCTGCCTTGGCCCCCCCCAGCTAATAATTGATATAGTCTGTATTTGAATCGAAGTTTGCCTCACTCTCAAATCTCTGTTTGTGTGCATGCATATTTACATATACTCATGTAAACACGAATATATGTGTACATATTATATGCAAATATAAATATGTTTGTCTAAGCATGCATATGGACAGTTACACAGATGAAGGTTTTAGTTGTCAATCAACTTCAGCAGAGGCCTCTTAGGATTGGGGATTCAGGCAGTTTCATGCCACAGACTCTTCAGGAAGACACCAGTTGCTTGCTTCAAAGGACATGCTTTATGAATTATTTGACGTCTTTGTTTCAAATATGCTATTTGTTTCTTAGGGATGCCTTAACAATGTTCCACAGACCAAGC